GGACTTTGGTCCTGAAGGAGTTCCACCTGCAGAAGAGGCCTAAAGAACAGGAAGCCATCATCAAGAGTCTGTGAAGTGCGTAGCAGGACACACTAGAGAGTGGGCTGCATATGACTGACTCTTTATAGCAACTAGAAACCTCCTGTCAGGGATCCCACCGCCGTGCAACGGCGATGGATCCCCTCGGACCGTGGCGGTGTGAGTGCGCATGCGTGGGACCGTGCGGGCGCACATGCACAGTAGCATACACATCACCGCAAGGCGGGCTATTTAAACCTGCAATACAGTGTAATCAATGCCTTCTGGTCTATAATGTCCTGCACTCCAAAACCTGATTCTGTTGCCTGTATCTGATCTGACCCTGACTAAGAGGGTCATCACCTGCACCGACCCCGGCTATCCCTGACTATCCGCTTGCCTGCTCCCTTGTACTTGATTTGCTCATTTGATCTTGGCCCAGCTTGTCTGACTCTGCTGCACCCATGGTCCTGCACCTAGCCTGCATACTTACCTGCTGCTGCACCCACGGTCCTGCACTGTCGCTCCAGGAGCCATGGCGAGCCCTGCAGTGATGATGTTGCCCTCTGAACCTAGAGTACCTACACCTGAAAGATTTTCTGGCAAGCGCCAAAAATTCAGGGCCTTCTGCAACGCTTGTGAACTCTATTTTGCGTTGCAACCCTGCACCTTTTCCTTAGAGGCAACCAAGGTGGGGTTTGTGATCTCACTCCTCCAGGGTGAACCACAAGCATAGGCCAATCATTTGCTGGAGAAGGAAGATGCCAAACTGTCTTACTTAAGTCGGTTCTTTGAGGCTATGGTGCAGCTCTATGATGATCCCCAGCGATCTGCGACAGCAGAAGCTGCACTACACTCTCTTCAGCAGGGTCGCAGGGCAGCTGAGGACTATGTAACAGAAATCTGGCGTTGGAGCACCAATACCAATTGGAAAAATGCTGCCCTACGATACCAGTTCCGCGTAGGCCTAGCCGAACCCCTGAAAGATGATCTAGCTCGAGTCGGAGTACCCAACACATTGGAAGAGCTTATTAATCTGGCTATCCAAATTGACCGCCGTCTTAGGGAACGAAAGTTGGAAAGATCCGCAGACCAAGTTTGTCCCATGTGGATGCTATCCAGGGCACCACCTCCAATGAGTATGGCACCAACCAGCCCTGCTACACCCAATTCTGATGAATCTGAACCCATGCAAATAGGGTTACTACAAACCTCTCACCCCAGAGGAACATCAACGCCGCCAACAGGGCAACCTATGCCTCTATTGTGGAGAACCGGGCCATTATGTACGGAACTGCCCTGCAAAATTACATAAGTCCCTGACCACCCTGCCTTCTAAACTACCAACCATCAACCCTGCTCATCTTACCATTTCCATCTCATTCCAGCTTTCAGGAAGAACTCTGCCAGTACCCGCTATCATCGATTCTGGGGCCTGCAGTTGCTTTACCGATGCAACTTTCGCTCAGCAACACCAGATGCCCTTAAAAGCCAAAACTCAGAGACTGACAGTATATCTGGCCAACAGATCAAACATTAAGTCTGGGGCAGTCACACAGGAAACGATCCCACTTCCTGTGATAATATCTCCATCTGGTCACAAGGAACTACTATGCCTGGATGTTATTGCATCACCACTGTTTCCAGTCATCTTGGGAATCCCATGGTTGCAGGCCCACAACCCCAGTGTAAATTGGGTATCTGGTGAAGTGGACTTTCAATTGGCCTACTGCCATGAGCACTGCTTGCCCCAAGGTCCTGCTCCATCCGGGCCCGTTATGCATGGAAAATGATACAGAAGTAGGCCAAATGGATCTGGCAGCATACCATGACTTTCTGGACATCTTCAGTAAACATGGTGCAGACCGCCTTCCACCTCACAGGCCCTACGACTGCCCCCATCGAACTCCTACCTGGAGCTGAGATTCCCTTTGGTTGGATCTTCCCACTGTCACAGCGTGAGTTGGAGGCATTAACCATTAGCCGCCCGGCCAATGGCCGTTTGGCGGCTTCAAAAGTGTTGCTGCATTCCGGGTGCACGCCATCCGGCGTGCTCCCGCACAAGCGCAGTTTGCGCTAATGCAGAGCGGCGCAGCAGCGCGATCTGTCACCGGCCGTGTACCTCGGACACGGCCAATGAAAGATCCGAGTACCGGCTCCCGTTGCTGGTACCATGTGACCTGCTGTGACCAATCACAGCAGGTCACATGACAGTTGTATACAATGGATGGCTTCATTCATGCCATCCATTGTATACTAGTGCCTAGCTGTGAATGGTCACAGCTAATCACATGCACATGTCATGTGATTAGCTGTGACCAAATCACAGCTAAGCACAAAAAAAAAAAAAAAAAAGCTGAATGAATCGATTTCATTCTGGTAAATGCTTGCTTATAGCAAAGTAATTCTTTGCTATAAGCAAATTGTGTAAAAAAAAAAAAAAAAAATACTGATCACTTCCCCAAAGTAGTACAATGTTACTATGGTAACATTGTACTACTTTGGTCATAGTAAAAATATGAAAAAAAATCTTTAAAAAAATTAAAAAAAATGTAATTAAAAATAAAAAAATTAAAAAAAATATATATATTTTTTTTTTTTTCATACTGTCACCAGTCAGTGTCCCTGTTAACCGCCATGCCAGTTATATGATGACACTGTACTGCACTGGTGACAGTATGTAAAAAAAAAATAGTGAAAATAATTTTTTTAATTTTTTCATTTTCCGAAAAATTATGACAAAAAAAATACAACTTCAAAAAACTCGCCATGCCTCTTATGAAGTACGTCGGACTGTCTACTTTGCAAAAAGGGGTCATTTGGGGATATCTGTACTGTTCTGACATTTGGGGGATATCTGTACTGTCCTGACATTCTTGGACCTCAAGAAATTAGATTGGCTGTCAGTACTTCAGGATTGATCGATATTCAGATCTATACCATAGTTTGTGAACTCTATAACTTTCCTACAAACTAAATAATACATCCTAATTTGGGTTATTTAAACCAAAGACATGTAGCAGAATACATCTCGGCCTAAATTTATGAAGAACAATTATTTATTTGTAAACTTTTTTAACAGAAACAAAGAAAAACGTGTTTTTTTTCAAAATTTTTAGTCCTTTTTTGTTAATTTAGCAAAAAATAAAAACCTCAGTGGTGATTAAATACCACCAAAAGAAAGCTCTAGTTGAGTGAAGAAAATGATAAAATTTTAGTTTGGGTACAATGTTGTATGACCGCGCAATTGTCATTCAAAGTGTGAGAGCGCTGAAACCTGAAAAATGGCCTGGGCAGGAAGGGGGAAAATTGCCCGGTATTGAAATGGTTAAAGGACTACATTGAAGATAATTTCAAAAAGGGGTTCATCCACCCCTCCATCTTACCAGCAGGGGCAGGGATCTTCTTTGTTGAAAAAAAAGATCACTCCCTCCGTCCATGTGTGGACTACCGCAAATTAAATAACATCACTGTGAAGAATAGATATACTCTGCCACTAGTCCCAGAGGCTCAGATCCGCAACCATATTTACTAAACTAGATCTAAGAGGGGCCTACAATCTTGTAGGGATCAGAGAAGGAGATGAGTGGAAGACAGCCTTCCGTACCAGGTTTGGGCACTACGAATATTTAGTTATGCCCTTTGGACTGTGCAATGCCCCTGCAACCTTCCAGCACCTAGTGAATGACATCTTCAGGGACTTTTTAGACATCTTTGTGATTGTTTATCTTGATGACCAGAACTTTTCTGCATCCATCGAGCTTCACCAGGGTCATATGCAGAAAGTCCTTGGTCGCCTCCGACTACATGGACTTTATGTAAAACCAGAGAAATGTGAGTTGCAGTGCCATTATTCCAGTTTCCGGGTAGTTACCATCCCCCATTATTATCACTGTCCCAGCCCTTTCCATCTGTGCGAGGAGCTGAGTCTCCACCTCCTCATTAACATTGGGAGGCCTATAACAAACTCCAATGATGACCTTTGTAGTACCGCCCCCCATGTGCAGTTCCACCCATAATACTTCAGCCTCATCACACTCTCCATCAACTAGGTCCTCTTTCACACTCGCTCTGAGATCACTTCTCACATAGAGACAGACACCACCACCTTTCCTATTTCCCCCGTCTCTCTGAAAGAGAACCTAGCCAGGAATATGAATGGCCCAGTCATGTGAGGAATGAAGCCAAGATTCAGCAATACCAATTCAATCCTAGTTCTCTTCATGCACCAAACCTTCCAACTCACCTATTGTGCTGGGCACACTTCTGGTATTGGGGAACAAACACTTTCATTCACTGACACCTTGTTCATTCACTGACACCTTGTTCATTCACTGACACCTTGTTCATTCACCGACACCTTGTTCACACAGATTTTGTGTATTTTTTATTTTCATACAAATGGTACCAATTCTACTGGTTGTTTGTAACATGGGAACATTCTTATCATCTGCCATAGCCCTCCCCCCATCTTTCCCCATTGCACCCCCCAATAAGGACTGACCCCTGTCTGATCTGTCTACCCCGTTATAATTGAATTCACCCTTCCCCCTCCATCCTAGTTTATATACTCCTCCAGCCTTCCTATAAACCCCTCCCCCAGCACAGCAGACCCCCTTCCATTTAGGAGCAAACCATCTCTAGTATATAGGCTGCACCCCAATGAGAAGTCAGCCCAGTGCTCTAGGTCAGGACTCCATTTTTATTCTCCTGCTATCAATGGCCAACCCGGTCCCACACTTCATCCATGTCTTTGGTGACCTCTGATCTCCTTATGAACTGTTTCTTCCATGATGAAGATCAGCCATGGAGTATATCTGAGGTGTATATCAGTATTGTGCTTCTTCCCCACATTAGAGCTGGGATGTCCAGCAATATTCATCTAGAAGACATTTCCCGCACTCAAGGCACTAATACACCTCCAGGGTTGTGTGGGACCCCTGATGTACAGGAAGACAGGACTTCAGTGAAGAACATTTCCCTCACTCAGGACAGGAAAGTGGCTTCTCCCCCGTGTGAGATCTCTGATGTCTGTGAAGATTGGACTTCTGTGAAAAACATTTCCCGCACTCAGGACAGGAATACGGCTTTTCCCCTGTGTGATATCTCTGATGTGTGTGAAGACTGGACTTGTCTGAAAAAACATTTCTCGCACTCAGGACAGGAATACGGCTTCTCCCCTGTGTGAGATCTCTGATGTGTGTAAAGATTGGACTTCTGTGAAAAACATTTCCCGCACTCAGGACAGGAATACGGCTTCTCCCCTGTGTGAGATCTTTGATGTGTGTGAAGACTAGACTTGTCTGAAAAACATTTCCCGCACTCAGAACAGGGATACGGCTTCTCCCCTGTGTGAGATCTCTGATGTGAGTAAAGATTGGATGTCACTGAAAAACATTTCCCGCACTCAGGACAGGAATACGGCTTCTCCCCTGTGTGAGATCTCTGATGTGTGTGAAGACTAGACTTGTCTGAAAAACATTTCCCGCACTCAGGACAGGAATACGGCTTCTCCCCTGTGTGAGATCTCTGATGTGAGTAAAGATTGGACTTCTTTGAAAAACATTTCCCGCACTCAGGACAGGAATACGGCTTCTCCCCTGTGTGAGATCTTTGATGTGTGTAAAGACTGGACTTCTGTGAAAAACATTTCCCACACTCAGGACAGGAATACGGCTTCTCCCCCGTGTGAGATCTTTGATGTGTGTAAAGACTGGACTTCTGTGAAAAACATTTCCCACACTCAGGACAGGAATACGGTTTCTCCCCTGTGTGAGATCTCTGATGTGTGTAAAGGTTAGACTTGTCTGAAAAACATTTCCCACACTCGGAACAGTGATACGGCTGCACCATTGTGTGCAATCTCTGATGTATGGAAAGATGGGACTCCATTGAAAAACACTTCCCGCACTCAAGACAAGAATATGGCTGCTCCCCCGTATGATGAGAGCTCTGATGTGTGTGAAGACTGGTCTTGTCTGAAAAACATTTCCCACACTCGGAACAGGGATATTGGCTGCTCCCCCCGTGTGAGATCTCTTATGTGTGTAAAGATAGCACTTTGTTGAAAAACATTTCCCGCACTCAGGACAGGAATACGGCTTCTCCCCCTTGTGAGATCTCTGATGTTTGTGCAGACTGGACTTCTTTGAAAAACATTTCCCGCACTCAGGACAGGAATACTTCTCCCCAGTGTGAGATCTGTGATGTGTGTACAGATGCGACTTCTGTGAAAAACATTTCCCACACTCAGGACAGGAATACAGCTTCTCCCCCGTGTGAGTTCTCTGATGTCTGTCAAGCCTCTCCTTCAGTGAAAAACATTTCCCGCACTCAGGACAGGAATACGGTTTTTCCCCTGTGTGAGATCTCTGATGTTTGTAAAGACTGGACTTATATAAAAAACATTTCCCGCACTCAGAACAGGAATGTGGCTTCTCTCCTGTGTGAGATCTTTTATGCACATTAAGCTCTGATTTACGCAGGAAACCCTTCTCACACTCCGTACAGGAGAACCTCTTCCCTGTTGGAAGGCCGGCCCGGTCCCGCACAGTCTGAGGTTCCTCAGGATACGAGGAATCCGATGGTCCATCTACACTGGGTGGTGCCGGATGGACATTGGAGGGAGCCGGGTTTTCTCCTGGACTATACTGTGTGATGTCCTCATCTTCTACTTTCCAGTCTGGAGACAAAGTGAGACAATCCTCGGAGGTTTTCCTCATCTCCCGGCCATGGACTAAAATACAAAACATAAAGAGGATTACTAAACAGGAGCTGATTGGTTCCCCCAAAACAGGACTGGCTGAGCCCCACCAGAGGTCAGAGAGTGAGGATGGTGGGAGAACAACCATGTCCAGCTGGGAGGAAATGGGTGTAACAAAAGAGAATCCATATTATGTGTATATATAGCAGTGGGGGGAGGGGGAGAGCAGAAGTCAGGACTATGTAATGTACAACATAGAGTATATAGTGCAGGGGTCAGGAGTATGTAATGTACAACATAGAGTATATAGTGCAGGGGTCAGGAGTATGTAATGTACAACATAGAGTATATAGTGCAGGGGTCAGGAGTATGTAATGTACAACAGAGTATATAGTGCAGGGGTCAGGAGTATGTAATGTACAACATAGAGTATATAGTGCAGGGGTCAGGAGTATGTAATGTACAACATGGAGTATATAGTGCAGGGTCAGGAGTATGTAATGTACAACATAGAGTATATAGTGCAGGGGTCAGGAGTATGTAATGTACAACATAGAGTATATAGTGCAGGGGTCAGGAGTATGTAATGTACAACATAGAGTATATAGTGCAGGGGTCAGGAGTATGTAATGTACAACATAGAGTATATAGTGCAGGGGTCAGGAGTATGTAATGTACAACATAGAGTATATAGTGCAGGGGTCAGGAGTATGTAATGTACAACATGGAGTATATAGTGCAGGGGTCAGGAGTATGTAATGTACAACATAGAGTATATAGTGCAGGGGTCAGGAGTATGTAATGTACAACATAGAGTATATAGTGCAGGGGTCAGTACTCATAATATTGGTATTCAGTAATCAGTGGAAGCTTAAATGTTTACTGTAGACAAGTTGCAGAGAGATCCCACACCGCTGCCTCCCATCTCCTGAGACTGCACTCAGTGACTTGGGTCTGAGACTATACAGACATATCCCTCCACCCGGCACAGCCAGCAGACATCAGAACAAGGAATCCTGGGAGAATTGTACTGTCAGAGATCTTACTAGACCCAGACATGGGGCAGAATACCCAAATCACATGTCCCAGGTGCCTAGGTCAAGTAATGCTGCCAGCTGAACCCCATAACCTCCATAAATCCAGTCTAGATACATAAATTGTGTCTGCAGCACAGAGAAGGAAGATTATCCGAGAGAAATCCAGGAATACAGGACGGGGAACACAGCTCAGGAAAGTGACCAGGGGATTACAGGCTGATATCACCCAGTCCCCGCCCTACTCTGGACCAATCAGTGAGCAGTATGGGTGGAGGAATGGATTTAGTGTTCATGACCCACCTGTGCTGATCTCTGTAGGAGTGTCCTCCTCTATAAATGTCCCCGTTATTCCATCCTCCTCCATAGACTGCTGATCATCCCTCACATACGCCTCTTCATCTTCTTCTTCTGCTTTCACCTCAAATTCTATATCGATTGGATCTCCACTCTAAATCAAGAAAAATGAGAGAAAATATCATCTGTATGATGTAAGATTTATGATTGTGACATCACACACAAAATCCACACATTGTCTCCCTTCACAGAAGCAGATCACATGTGATATGTCGGTACATTTCCCCTAAATACCGCATGCCATCCTGAAACTGTCCATTTCCTATCCCGTGTTGCGGTATTGACCACAAACACTGAACACGCTCAGTAAATACCGCATGAACAGGCGTTACATTCACAGAAGGAAATAAAGAATGAAATGCATGCGGTCATTAATTAGTGGTGGAGACATGCGGCATTCAGGAAATGTGTACTGCTTGGTAAAGAGTGGGCGGCCGCTGGCATCCTTAACAACCAGTAAACAACATGGTTGTTAGGGAGCGAGCGGCCGCTGCGTCCTAACCAACCTATAAATCTAAAAAAAAGAATTACCGGCAACAAAATATTAAGAAAATGGGGTAGGGTCCCCCCTCGGGTCTGGTATGGATTTTGAGGGGGACCCCTTGCCAAAATGAAAGAAACCAGACCCCTATCTGAGCATGCTGCCGGCAGGTCAGGAAAGGGGGGCCAAGCAAGAGACCCCCCCCTCCTGAAACATACCAGGCCACGTGCCCTTAACATGGAGTGGATGCTCTGGGGAAGGGGGGGCTTTGCTCCCTCAGAGCACATTTTCCATGTTGATGGGGACAAGGAACTCTTCCCCACAACCCAGGCTAGTGGCTGTGGGGGTTTGCAGGCAGAGGACTTACAAAATGTAACAAGGGGGCCCTCAGATCCCTCACCCCATGTGAATGAGTATGGGGTACATGGTAGCCCTAATTATTCACCCCAAAAAAAGTATTCTGTTAAATAGACAGCAGGCACTTTTTGACAAATCCTTTATTAAAAAAGCAAAACTAAAGCAAAATGTCCCCCCGGTGTAGATCCATCATCAATCACGATGCTCGCTGTCACGCTGACTCGGAAAGAAAAGCTCCGCTCCCAATGAAGACTCCCCTTTGTCTGACAGCTCTGCTTCCTCCTGCCACTAAATATACTAAGGGGACGGTGCCACTTGGTGACGTCACTGACCAGGGCATGATTTATTGGTGACGTCACAAGAGGGGAAGGCCACCCAGTGATGTCACAGGGTAGTAGCGCTCCTTAGTCTACTTAGAAGTGGGAGGCGGCGGAGCTGTCAGACAGCAGGAGGGGAGCTTTGTTTTTTCTTCCGAGTCAGCGATGACAGCGAGTATCGTGATTGGATCATCGATGGATCTACATCAGGGGGATATTTTTCTTTTTTTTGTCAAAAATATACTTCCAGTGTTTTTTTTAAACTACATTTTTTTTGGTGAATGAATAGGGGGGTACTATGTTACACTATACTCATTCACATTGTGGGGGGGGGCCGGGATCTGGGGGCCTCCTTGTTAAAGGTGGCTTCCAGATTCCAATAAGCCCCCCACCCACAGACCCCCCCACAACCACTGGCCAGGGTTGTGGGGAAGGGACCCCTTGTCCCCATTGACATGGAGACAAGGTGTTTTTGGGGGGGCAGGGTGCCCCTGACCTGAAGCACCCACCCCATGTTGAGGATATGTGGCCTGGTATTGTTCAGGAGGAAGGTGGGCACTCTCTAAGGGTCTGTGTTGATTTTGGAGGGGAACCCATGCCTTTATTTTTATTATTTTTTGGCTTCGGGGTTCCCCTCAAAATCCATACCAGACCTGTCACAGCTGTCAGCAGGGAACTTGGCGGCCGTCTTGTTTACTGGTTGTTGGGGACACTGGCAGCTGCCCTCTCCTTAACAACAAGCTATTTATAAGTGTTGCTATGGACACCAGTGGAAAATTACTAGCAGGCTTCACTACTACTAAACAACAGCATGCAGCATCTTACTACATACATACTGGGATACGGGAAGATACCGCTTTGTGATTGGAGCCCATAGTCTCTACAAGTCCATGTTCTAGATTCTCCATCCACCAACCTTGCAATGGTGGGGGACGGTGTGACCTTCCTGTGTGGAATCCCGGGAATACAGAGGACGGGGACATCTCTCTGGTGGGTTCCTGGTATTAGGTGGCTCCATCATATCCTTGTGTCCTTCTGAAAAACTCCATCCATCCATCATTCCATACTCCTCATCCTCCTCTGTATACTCTTCTTTAACATCAATATTATCATCCCCGAGGATTCCACTCTGAATATATAATAAAACATTCATTGTAACAAACATGCTGTGTGTAAATCACAACTACCAATAATTGTCATCATCTACCTGATGATGGTGAGGGATGGTGTGACCTTCCTGTGTTGGAATCCCGGGAATACAGAGGACGGGGACATCTCTCTGGTGGGTTCCTGTAGCTGGATGACTCCACCATGGTGTCCTGGTACAGATCTTTGTGTTCTTTTAGAGACTCTGAGCTCCTCCCATCACCCCATCCTCATCATCCTCCTTTTTTATCTCTTCTTTAACCTCAACTTTAGGATCTCTCAGGTTTCCACTCTGAATATATAATAAAAATGCCATCAATGGTAACAATGCAGATAATGTACAGATCCTAATGATACTATCAGTGATTGTTCCTCATCTCCTGATGATGGTGAGGGATGGTGTGACCTTCCTGTGTGGAATCCCGGGAATACAGAGGACGGGGACATCTCTCTGGTGGGTTCCCATGACTGGATCCATCTGTAGGAAACACACACACTGACTGAATCCATTGTTTCTATGTGTTTATCAGATGATGGGGGATCTAGGTGGATCCTCCGTACTGCTCTCTCCTTTACAATAAAGTCTCCTCTTACCCGGTGATGTGAGGGGCGGCTGATTGTCCATCATGACGTCCTTGTAGAGATCCTTGTGTCCTTCTAAATACTCCCACTCCTCCATGGAGAAATAGACAGTGACACCCTGGACACCTTATAGGAAACCTGACACACACAATGATACAGTCACCATCCAGACACATCCCTTGTCTGTTACTGGAGAAATGTCCCAGAATTCCCGGCACCGCTCACCTCTCCTGTCAGCAGCTCAGTGATCTCTCTGGTGACTTCTAGAATCTTCTTCTTCTTTTCTCTCTTCTATCATGGAGGGAGGTGGAGGCAATGTGATGTCATATGATCTCCAGACTTCACAGGAGGAAAACTCTACATCTGAACACAGATAGTAAC